CCTGCTGACGGGGCCCTTTCCATCCTCTCCTATCAACACAAGTTAAACACCAGCTACCGCCACCGTTGCTCCCACCCTGTTTACACAGCTCTGCCCCACTCCACTCGATGCGGCTTTGTTGTTGCCATCGTAGCAAGCGATACATGCTTGTGTGGTTACCGAAGTGCTCATTTCTTCCCACAACTGTTTTAATCCTCCTCTTTAGATACCTGTCATAAGCATAGAAATGCTCTGAAAAATCTTTGTTTCTGTGCCACAGATTTTCCTTGTGAGGCATGGGCAGCTGATTAAGTTTCTCTTTGCTCCACTTCTCTGTAGTGGGGATTTCTCTCCTATGCAGCGGGACTGTGAGAATAAATACTTTATAAATTGTGAGGCATTCAAATACTGCAGTAGTGGGGGCCATGTAAGTGTCAGAATAGACAAGGGAGCAGCAGTGAACTCACTGTAGTTTGGGATCTGATCCTGTAAACACACATCTGAGTCTCCTCCTTTCCATGAGTGAAGCCAAGCCTCAGAACTGGTCCCAGGAGCAAAGAGTCTTGTGAGCATGAGTATGTCCTGAAGAGGCCATCCTGGATCCTTTGAGGATTATAAATCATATGTTATGTGGCTTCAGAGTTTCTTTTAATGTAGCCTCTCCATTTGTTCCCAGTTCCTACGTGCTTTGCTCTTGAATGAGTCACCAGAAGCTGCTGCTTATGCATTTTCCCTTGCCTTAAATGTGTGCTTTATTTTAAGAAGCTGAATCTCCGGTTTCTCAGAACCTGAAACTCCTTTTTTCAGTTTGACAAGTGGACAGATGGTCAGAGGCGGAGGATCCTGGTTGACCTGTTGGAACGCTGCTCCTTGTCACAGCAGAAATTCTGTGCCAAGCAGCTACAGGATCGAGTTCCCACCGAGGCTCTAGATTTTACCACCAGGCTTCCTAGAGTCCTGTCTTTATACATCTTTTCCTTCCTGGACCCACGGAGCCTCTGTCGATGTGCACAGGTAAAAAAGCCAACACGTACCCAAGGTTCAGAAAGTCAGGTCAAGCTACTTAAAAAAAAAAAGGAAATTGCACTAGTTTTCAGCAAAGACATACCAGTGCTGTTGTTCATAATGCAAGGATGTCTTCTGACTTGGCAGTCTGGTGCTAAATGCTTAGTAATGCTTGTATGAGACAAAATGCAACACTTCCACAGATCCTAAATGAAGCCAGATTGGCCAAGATTTACAAAAGTGAAGAGTAATTTTAGATGCTCAGCTCTAAGGCATTTAACATGTGGCACTTTACAAGACCAATTCTTCCCAAGAAGGAGGCCTGGTACTTTCTGAAAATCATGTTCCTTTAAAGTACCTTGCACTGTGTGCAGAATCATTAATTGCTTTGAAAAGTATTGGCTTGTGCTAGTTGCAAAGAATGAAGCACACAATGCTTTAAGAAAACCAGATCCTTTAAAATGCTTGAGGTTGAAGTGTTGGATGTGGAGAATCAGAGAAGTTGCAGATGTGCTTTTGAGCACAATGGCTAGGGCTTCAATCATTTGAGCGCAGTGGCTAAGACTCCAAAACTATGCTTGCATGAGATAAAGTGCTGCGAGGTGATGTCTAAAGTAGTTCTGAATGAACAGGTTCAGATATCGGTGGCATTATTACCACACTAACATAGTACTCCATATAATACTACGAATATATCAATATCTCTGCTTTTTTAAAGCTTGCTCTAGTATCTTTCTCCAGCATTTCACATTTTATGTGGATGCAACTCACACTATTCATTCACGGGCAGGGAGAAGACAGGTGAGGAAATTACTTAGAAAGAAAGGTCTTTACAGTGCTACTTGTGTCATATCATTGCATAGCTGCTGTTATAAGCACGGCAGTGCCAATAGATGATGTTTGTCCTTAAGCTGGAAGAAGCATTGCAAGCAAGATGACTGTGTGATGGAGTAAAACAGCAGAACATGAGTAGGAAGGAAATGACAGAATGAGTCTATCAGACTTGGTGAGTTTATTGATGCTGTTTTTCTCAGTGGAAACTAATAAAGGGTTTATTCCAACTATTATATGCTTATTGAGTAGAAGTTGCCCCAAACAAGCTGAAAGTTTTTATCTTGGATCGTGATTTTTGGAGTATTTCACCATGTGCTGGAGATCAGCTAAGGGACACTGAGCATGTCACGAAGGCATGTCATCAATGACATAGACAGTGCAATCAAGTGCACCCTCAGCAAGTTTGCAGATGACACCAAGCTGAGTGGTGTGGTTGACATACCTGAGGGACAGGGTGCCATCCAGAGGGACTTGGACAAGCTCAAGGAATGGGCCTGTGTGAACCTCATGAGGTTCTACAAGGCCAAGTGCAAGTTCCTGCGCATGGGTCAGGCAACCACCAGTACCAGCACAGGCTGGGGGATGAAGAGATGGAGAGCAGCCCCATGGAGAAGGACTTGAGGGTCCTGGGGGTGAAAAGCTGGACAGGAGCCGGCAATATGCACTCGCAGCCCAGAAGCCACCCGTGTCCTGGGCTGCCCCCAAAGCCGCGTGGCCAGCAGGACGAGAGAGGGGGTTCTGCCCCTCTGCCCCGCTCTGGGGAGACCCCCCTGCGGGGCTGCGTCCAGCTCTGGAGCCCTCGGCACAGGAGAGACATGGACCTGCTGGAGCCGGGCCAGAGGAGGCCCCAGCGACGCTCCGAGGGCTGGAACAGCTCTGCTGGGAGGACAGGCTGGGAGAGCTGGGGGGGCTCAGCCTGGAGCAGAGAAGGCTCCGGGGAGACCTTAGTGCAGCTGCCAGGGCTTGGAGGAGCTGAGGAGAAAGATGTAGACAGACTTTTTAGCAGGGCCTGGAGCCACAGGACAAGGGGTGACGGTTTTAAACTAAAAGAGGGGAGATTTAGACTAGATGTAGGGAAGAAATTTTTGACAAGCAGGGTGGTGAAGCCCTGTCCCAGGTTGCCCAGAGAGGTGGTGGATGCCCCATCCCTGGAAACATGCCAGGTCAGGTTGGACGGGGCTCTGAGCACCCTGATCTAGTTGAAGATGTCCCTGCCCACTGCAGGGGGGTGGACTAGATGACCTTTGAAGGTCCCTTACAACCCAAACTTTTCTATGATTCTATGAAGACCTTGAATGGTTTAAATGGTATAAGGAAAGCTTTAAATGGAGCATAAACACTGCTGAAGTGTTGTACTAGTTTAAGGACATAGGGGAGTTACATCAACAGCACAGAAGTCTCTAGCTGCAATCTTAGATGCTTGAAACCCTAAGGTTTTCAACTTATTGGGCATTCACAGGTGAGCTGGTACTGGAAGTACCTGTCTGAACTGGATCAGCTCTGGATGCTGAAATGCCTACGTTTTGGCTGGTTCATCAACTTCTCTCCAACCCCCTTTGAGCAAGGAATCTGGAAGAAACATTACATTGAGATGGTGAAAGAGCTGCATGTCACTAGACCAAAGGTACATACCTGCCACCTCTAGAGATGTTCAGGGCCAATGGGAAAATTGGGCTAATGGGGATCCTAACTCCTTTGCCTCTTTATCTTTCTGTAATCTTGCACTAGGAAAATGGAAGATACATAATTTTAAATTAGAATCTAAACTCACGCTCTGCTTTCCCATCATCCATCCCTGGTAGGGGGGAAGTGAAAATCTCACTGCTTAGGAGAAGCAATCACCAAGGTCTCACTCTGTTATCTTTCAGGGCGTTCTGGAGTAATCCTCTAAATTTCCCTCTCCAGCACTCAAGGCTGTGCCCCTTCCCCTCAGTTTATAGAGCATATGAGAGCTTGCCTCAATCTGATAAGCAGAGGTGGGGTACCCAGCAACAGCCCCGTTGATATTTCAGAGTCAGTTTACCTAGTGGAAAGGAAAAAAAGCACCCATTATGCCTGCTACATCTCTTGGTGTTGTCTCTTTCTCTCTTCTTCAAAGGTGGCAGGGCCATTTTCAGGAGGTGGAGCATTACTCAGTAGCCACGGCTTTCTCCTGGGGTTCACTGATGATATGCCTGGTTTGTGGGGCTGTGAGGGTGGGATTCTTCTGCCCTGAATTCACAACTCAGCCCTCTAATTTTAACCAAACTCCCCTGTAGACTCTCACTCTAGTCAACGGAGAGAAGCCAAAGCATCTCAAAAGAAGTTCAGTTCAACTTAATACAAATTTTGGGACAGGGTGCACTGTCAGGCTGCCTTTTTCTGTCTGCTGACGATAATGGAGCCTGGAGAGACTAATTTTGAGTTAATGCCCAGTTCTTAGAAGTCTAAAGTTAGGCAAAATAAGTATCACTTTCCTTATAGGCTAAAATTTATTTTCTTCTTTTCTTCTCTTTTATTAGACTCCTTCAAAGGATGAATTTGTAGTTATTGATGTGCAACCAGTAAGAAGCAACGTCCCAGAGACAAAACTTTCTGTGCTGGGAAGGAGGACAAAAAAGGACAAAAAAGAGCTCCCACCATGGCGTTCATCAGACAGGCATCCTACAGACACTATCCGATTCAACTACCTCGACAACTACAATCCTATCGAACAGGCTAGGCAGGCGTAAGAGTTTCATCTCTTCCCTTTTGCTCTTTCTGTGATGTAGGGTACATCTGTGTCCTTTGCAAGCTCACTGTGCCTGTGCTCCAAGCTGCCTGGAAGCCTTATAGCTCAGCAAACTGGTTGCAAAGCCACTTTGCTGTTCTTTTGGCTTTTCTTGGATTGCTCTTGGTCCTGTTGTAGTTGCAGCTGCAGCAGCAGTACTTTGTGCCCTTTCAGTGCAGAGTACTTCTTAGTGTTTGCCTATAAAATAGGCTGTAGCTCCTGGGGAAGTAACACAGCTGTAATGGGAAGGATCAGGACAACAGTTTTGAATAGTATTAATTGCCTAAATATTTACACTGCCTGGGGTAGACTGCCTAGATCCATCAGTTCTTAGGCGCTCAGGATTATCTGGTCAAGAACAGGCAAAAGAAAGGCATTTCCACTCCAAAGTATAGTTTTGCACACCAACTTCTGTTAGGACTGTCACATGTTTTCCTTGGACAGATCTGGCATCAGATATTTTCAGAATCTTAGATCTGTGGTCAAATTTCTGTGCAATAACAAGCATCAGCAGGAGCAATAGCAAGGACGCTGCGGTAGTCACCTGTGTGCAGTGTTTGGCCCATTGCCCGTTTAAGTCTCTGTTAATACCACCTCTCATTTTTCATGGGCTCACAGCAGTTGCCTCAATTCAGCTGATGTGCAGTAACTTGCGAAACTGGTAATACTGTCATTAATCTGGGCTTGGTGAACAGGTAATGGATTAGCTTGACCGTTGCCTAGTTCCTGTGAGAAGGACTGCACAGACTCTCACCCAACTGAATGTGCAGAGAGGAGAAGATTCCTCTTCACTGTGCCAACAAAAACCTTGGGAACCAATTGAGCCACATTGAAAGTATCCAGGTTGTACTTTAAGTAAATAACTGATAGAGCTGAGATAGCCCTGTGCACAGCAACAATCAACCCATGAATTACCCCAGCCAAGTGATTGTTTGGCGAAGCAGTTGTGCACTCGCGTAGGCTCTTTCTCAATGTGATTAACTTTGCTGGACCCACCACTCCTCCAGGGTGTTCTATAAAGTTCCCAGTGTCTGAGCAAAAGCCTTTTATGAATCATTTTTTAATCCGCGTCCCCTAGTCCTAGGATACTGCAGTACTTCAAAGAGCTTACCAGTTTCCACCTCACCCTCTTTCTGTGGTATTTTTCCAAACTCTATCACCATTTTGGGTAGCGTTGTTTGAGGCTTTTAACTAAATATTTTGACAAAGTGCCTCTTCTTGCAAATGGATGTCCTGATAGTAGGCTTCCCTTGTGCTGGTCACGACCTAGTGTCAAAGGTGGGACAAGACTCGTTTGAAGAGTTTAAAAGTCACTTGTTCCAGCATTGAGCTATAAATATAGTTGACAACCAGATGCAAATGATTTTGAGTTGCTAATGATACAGTAAGCACACTGACTGTTTTCTTCTCCTAAGTGAGATTTGAGCCTCTATCCATTTGTGCAATGGAGAATGTTTTAATGCCTAGTGTTCTAGCAAATCTGGCATTTATCCATAATTATAGAGGATTATTGCAAGGAGAGAAATGCATTTTATGAGATTTGCTTGTTTATCAACCACCCGCCTGGTGGATGAGGGAAAGTCTGT